AACTTTTGTCTGAAACATTTTTTCGTATATGTAATAATAGATAGCGAGCTACAGCACTGTAAAGTGGAACAAACTATTAAAAATTTCACAAAAGGCTTCTTTTTAAACATATTTTATTATAATTATTGTTTATTAATTTCTATTAATATAAATTAATTATTATTATTAACAATAGAGTAATAGTATTCTATTTACATATTTTTAAATCGATAATCGATTTAATTTTTTATGCTGATACGCATCGTATCTAACATCTCCTTCCCCCAAATATTACTGTAAAGAATTTATTGCAAAAAATATCACCTCAGCCAGGATTCGAACCTGGGGGTCAATCATGAATCTTTTCCCCTAGGGTGGAAACGTGAAAAATGAAAAATCTCTCTTTCTATTGATGTTAAATAGAAAGAGATAGTCATATAAAAACTTTTCACTGTCCACGTTCCACATTAATACATGATTGACCCCCTGGACCTCCCTCATACCGTGTAGACGTCTCACCAATTCGATCACCGAGGCATGTGATATTTTTTCTCGCGAAATAATTTTTCGTGTAAATTTTTAATACTATTTCCAATAAATACTGCGCGCCAACTTGAACATATAAAATTATTATTTATTTATAATTAAATAGAATAAATATACGTAAAATATTTTCAGCCTACGAATGTTTCAAGTTTTATTCTAGTCCAAGGCATTAGATCCAGCTCCTCAGGCCTTGCTCAATGTAATATCATGCAATTGCAAAAAAGGATGTAGAGGAACATGTGGCTGCAGAAAAGCTGGATTAAAGTGCTCCATTATTTGTGGATTTTGCAATGGACAATCGTGTGAAAATGTGCCCTATTCTTGAATCGTTTTCATGAAACTCGCATGCGAAATTCAATGCTTTTTCAAATAGAAAGTCGCATACGAAAATTATTAGGGCAGGCTCGAGAATACGGTCCCAGAGCCTGTGATCGACAGTGAAAATAAAGGAGAAACACTTTCCGTTATGCAGATTCACGAGGAGATCGAGAATTATGATTCACAAAACAACACCGAAAACTATATTGGCTACGTTTACACCCTGAAATTAGGCCGCGGCCTGTACCTCAAATTCGACCTAAATTATTTAGCCCGCCTGCTGTAAACAGTTGATAGACGACCGGACCTGGCTTCAGATCAGGCCGCGTATTTTAGTGACCCGACCTGAAATCGGCCGTTATCATTTGCGATGTAAACGCGCGATTAAGCGCGACGCGTCCTAAAAGCTTCATTTGCTTGTTCGGATTCGCTGCAATTCAGGGCGATCCCAAATACGATCCCGTCAATTTTTAGGTTTCTTTCGGTGTAAACGAATGATGACTAGACCTACTTCGGGTCACAATATAGGTCAGGCCGCGATCAGGTCGCTGGGTGTAAACGTAGCCATTGTTTGTGAGAACATAGTAACCAACCGGGACCATCAAACCGACAAAAAATATAAGGAGTTTCTATTGTTTTTATTGTTTCTATTTAAAATATGTTTGAAACGGAGCCTTTTGTGATATTTTTAATAATTTGCTCCACTTTACAGTGCTGTAGCTTGCTCTCTATTAGATATACGAAAAAATGTTTCAGACAAAAATTGTAGGGAATTATATCTTCTACAAAATTGATAATAACTATTTTTACACAAATATCTACTGGTGAGGAGATATTCCGAAAAAACCGGTTTTGTGCTCCATTTTTTCAAGATGGTGGCGCAAGCGGAAGTGCGCCAAGGTCGAAAACTTGGATTTTTCATTAGAACCCCAAAGTATAAAACATATCCAAAAATCAAAACTACCCGACCTTTGCAGGGTAAACTTACCTAGCTACTGGGCTATGTGGCCATATGCGCATGCTCAGTGGCCGCATGCGCTTGCAAAAGTGCGCGAATTTGAAACGTATGTATACACAATGGGAGGGGGGGGGAGGGGGGGGGCGACCCCCCCCCCCCGCCTACGCATGTACTTTGATGTTATATAAGATATGTTCATCATTGAAAGCTAATTGTAAGTGACATGCATTATAAGTATACATACGTTTCAAATTCACGCACTTTTGCATGCGCGTGCGGCCACTGAGCATGCGCATATGGCCACAGAGCATGTTCGTAGTCGCTACAGCTCGTCAGTATGACAGGAATCATAACCTGATTCTTGTCAACTTTTACGTTTAATATCTCGTTTCGCGGGACAGAGCGACACTTTTTTCTGCCAGATTCGGTCGTTTTGTGCAAAAACGCGTCAATTAAGCCTAAATTCAACGAAATCGGTGAGGAGGCCACTATTCTTCAGATTTACCAATAAATGGGTGAGAACTTTTTTCTGAAACTATTTCTGAAATTTTGTATATATATACGCTGTATGTGTTTATATTGTATTTCTGTAACGGTCGATGCCGCACGACCCGATCACGCGTGGGCCTTGTGCGCTAATTGCCGAACCGGAGGGAGATCGCCGAATCCGCGGCAAGCGAGACCGCGGCGAGACAGTCGTTCCAACGAACCACTCGAGAACAGTCGCTCTAAGAACTGCCAATAAATCGATCGAATCACGCAGAGCTCGCTCAGTCACTTATTTACTTATCGTCTTTTACTGCATATTTATATATTTATTATAAACGAACGTGGAGTGCCTCCGAGAACATTATAATACAAGCGCTGAAGAATTCTATAATTATCAAAGTGAGACAAGTGCCCGCTATATACCGGTACGCGCGACCGGTGCGCATCGCGCCCAACGTTGTACACCTATCATTCAATAAAAATTTTTTACCAGCATTCGCATTGTACGCTTCTATAGTACGAACATGGTCCTTCGAGCCGGATAGGGTGCACGTTTCGGAGCACGCGGTTGCGGTAGACGAGAAACCGCCGGTCTTGGCGCGCGCCGGAGTAGCAAGGGTGTCTCATAAAAACGAATGAACATTAGTGTGCGTGCAACAAACAAACATTACAAACTTTCAATAAACTTTTGAGAACATTCGAGTGACAATCGTTAGCGAGAGGCATTCGGCCGACCTCGCTGAGCTCGGAGTGTCAGCCTGTGTTCACGTGATCGAGTCTTCACCTTTTCTTCCTCTCTTCCTGGTTTTCGTCGAGACAAAAGGACAAGTTTCTCATAGTGAGTCGTGCACATACAATGAGGAAAACGAGTGTCGAAAATCTCCGCAAGCAAAGAAGCGCATTAAAGAGGAAATTGACAAACATACGAAACTTCATCGTTAAAGCTGAGAAGGATGTGGAGAGCGTGCTACCGGGTGAGATTACGGCGCGTTTTCAAGCGCTGGAGGACATTCATTCGAGATTCCAAGCTGTGGCGCAGAACCTCTTATCATTGTTGCCTGAGGAGGAATACGGGCAAAGAGATGGAGTGGAGGAAAGCGAGTTCGACGAGCGATACTTTTCGGCAAAGGCGGCTTTACAGCAATTAGCGGAAAGAATCAAACTGCCGTCCAACAAGCTCTTCAACGAGCACATCGAGTTCGAGCAGTGATCCAGGCGTGATGCAGGTTCTGGAGCAGCAGACAATATTAATTCAAAAATTGGCCGAGCTGTCGGTTGAGAGCAGCGACGGTGGTGCGTTGGCACAAATTGTAGAACAGCAAAATCAATTGCTAGAAAGATTAAGCGTGCGGTCTAACACGCCCGCACGTGAATCTCATGTAAAATTGCTAATGATCACGTTACCATCATTCGACGGAAGCATGGAAGAGTGGAAGCGATACTCAGACACTTTTAAAACATTGATACATCGATAGCGACCTGACTAATGTACAGAAGCATCAATAATATTTGGTTGATTCGTTGAGCGGACAAGCCGCTAAAATAATCGAGTCGATAGACATTTCTGAAAACAATTACGCCATCGCTTGGGACTTGTTGAAGAAGAGATACGATGACGAGCGAGGCATTCGAAAGCGGCACATACAGTGTTTGTTCGATCTACCACTAGTGAAACGAGAATCAGCCAGTGCAATCCAAGATTTGGTGGATCACATTCAGAAACATTTGCGAGTATTACAAGCAATGGGACTTCCTACCGAGTCATGGGGAGACCTAATTATTTATTTGATCGAGAAAAATTTGGACAACGCGACGAGAAGACGTTGGGAAGAGCACATCGAGCAAAAGGACGATGTGATGACAAGCACAATGATCGAGTTTTTGCAACGGCAATGTCAGCTGTTGCGGCGAGCGACTTCGGACAACGAAATCGTCAACAAGGCAAAGGACGACATTCGCGCGAAGGACGGAACGAGCAAGCAGCGATCGTTAGATTTGAAATCACAGGGCAGGACGACACTCTGTCAACAACCACACAGGAGCGACGGTGTTACGTGTGCCAAGGACAGCATTCTATTTATTCGTGCAAACAATTTCTGGGCTTGTCCGTGGAGGACAGAATCAAGGAAGCCAAGCGATTGAAACTTTGTCTCAATTGTCTCGGAAATAATCATTTTTCGAGAGATTGCAGGTCCGGTTCATGTCTAGAATGTGGCGAGCGGCATAACACGCTGTGCCACATCGTGAAGCGGGCATCCTGTTTGTCGGCGGATTCGGCACGGGGTTCGGAGGACTGTTCGAGAGGGTCATCCGGGACCACGCTGTGCGCCGTGGCGGACAGCAAGTACTGATGTCAACGGCTATTGTAAATATTGAAGCAAACAATAACAATAATCATTTGCGCGTATTGCTAGATAGTGCGAGCGAAGTCAATTTTATCACGTTAGCGGCGTGTAACAGACTAAACATAAAATTAGAAAGCGTATGCGAATCCATAAACGGTCTAAATAATATGAGTTGCGCGATAGATTACGGTTGTCAAATTTTGATGAAATCGCGAACGCCAAGTTCGAGTTGAGTCTTTGTTGTTTGGTTGTCCCGAGAATAACTAAAAATTTGCCTTCGTTTTCAATTAATATATCAAAATTGCCTATCCCAGAGAATCTAAAGTTAGCAGACCCGTTGTTTTACAATCCGGGTCATGTCGACGCGCTCATAGGCGGAGAATTCTTCCTTCAATTATTGGAAGCCGGCAAGATTGAACTCGGTGAAAGTTTGCCGGTATTGCAAAACATTAAATTCGGTTGGATTGTGTCGGGTCCGGTACCACAACATTTGATCACGCGTCGGACGACCAACCGTCAACTTTCTAATAATCACGTGTGTTTGATCACGCAGCAAATATCAATAGACGATACGTTACGGAAATTCTGGGAATTAGAAGAATACACAGATAATAATACAAGGTTGTCGATGGAAGAACAGTGCTGCGAGAATCATTTCGTAAACACAACAAAGCGAGACGCGTCCGGGCGGTTTGTCGTTCGCTTACCTTTCCGTGAAAACAAGACTTAGCTCGGACAATCGAGAGACATGGCGATGAAGCGTTTATTACTTTGTTTAGTATGGAAATTTCAACGGGAACCGGAGTTATACAAATTGTATTCCGAATTTATGCGCGAATATATCGATTTGAAGCATATGTCCAAGGTTACCGGGGACGCTCGAATACCGAATTCAGTCTATCTGACGCATCATGGCGTTCTTCGTGAATCAAGTACAACAACTAAGCTGCGAGCGGTATTCAATGCGTCCGCAAAAACCACGTCAGGTATTTCGTTAAACGATACATTGATGACGGGACCGAATTTACAGGATAGCATAATCAATATAATGTTGCGATTTCGTTTGCATGCCATTGCGATCACAACCGATTTACAAAAAATGTATCGTCAGGTTTTGGTACACGAGGACGACCGAGATTATCAAAGAATTTTATAGCGTTTTCCTCGAACGATCCGATGGAGGATTATCGGTTAAATACCGTGACTTATGGTCAGACGAGCGCTCCGTATCTAGCCATTCGCTTCGTGCAACAGCAAGCGAAAGACGGGGCTAGTCGGTTTGAACTGGCATCGCGAGTTCTACTAGAGGATTCTTATGTTGACGATATTATTACAGGAGCTGATAGCGAGCCCGAAGCTGTTAAACTAGTCTCACAATTGGAGAAGTTGTTGCGCGAAGGGGGTTTCGAGGCTCACAAATGGCGCTCAAATCGTGAGAGAATTGTACCTGAGCTGCATGCCGTCAATCGAATCGAGGAGTCGTCGGTGTTAGAGATTGACGCGAGTGCCGTCAAGACATTGGGCTTGAGTTGGCATCCCAAATCAGACATGTTTCAGCTTTTTATCGAGCATATAACGAGTTCAGTTGAAACCAAGCAGGTTTCGAATACGCGAGTTTTCGCAAGCGTTAGCAATTCGAATGACGTTAGAGAGAGAGCTCTTGTTAAATAACTATTCGTCACTATCAAAGATCGAGCGCACTTTGGCTTGGATTGTTCGATTCGGCTTCAACGTTAAAGTGAATCGCTACAATCGTAAGCCCGGTCTCTGTCAATTGACGAGATTCGCCGCGCGCATCAGTTGTTAATTGTAGCAGTACAGAGGGTTCATTTTTCAGAGGAAACGTCAAGCCTATTGTCAGGGAAACAAATTCGATCTAGCAGCAAATTATTGTCGGTTAATCCGTTCATGGATGAGAAAGGACTTCTCAGGGTGGGTGGCAGAATTCAAAATTCACAAGTTTCCTTTGAGAAAAAACATCCAATCATTTTACCATCCGATAGCAAATTCACGCGGTTGTTGTTTGAAAGAGAACATCATAGACTATTGCATATAGGTCCACAGGCAGTGTTATATTCTATTCAAGAAATATATTGGCTGCTCCGAGGCAAATTCATCGCCAGAAAAATCACACATGATTGCATAACTTGTTTCAGCAACAAGCCGAAACCATTATCGCTAATCATGGGTCAATTACCCGCAGATCGAGTCACTCCAACTCGTCCATTTTTTGTAATTGGCGCAGAATTTGCCGGACCTATCATCACATTAGTTAACCGAGGCCGCGGAAGAAAAACTAGCAAATCTTACATGTCTCTATTTCATTTAAAACGCGTTATCCGGGAAGGTCTCCTGACATTTGAGAAATTAGCGACAGTGTTGATACGAGTTGAGACATGTCTGAATTTGCGTCCAATTTGCCAGCTGCCGTCCTCGGCAGCGGATTTGCAACCACTAACACCGGGACATATTTTAACAGGTAATTCATTAATTGCTCTTCCAGATGCTGACGTAACAGATGTTCCTTTAAATCGACTCGATCGCTGGCAAGCAGTTCAGAGAATCGCGCAAGATTTTTGGAATCGATGGAGCCAAGAATATTTGACGTCACTGCAAGGCAGAACGAAATGGACGTCCGAGCGAGATAACTTAGCTATTGACGATGTTGTCTTGATACAAGACAACAATGCGCCACCACTAAGGTGGAAATTAGGAAGGGTAATAAAGACTCACGAAGGTACTGACGAAAGGGTGCGTGTCGTGACCCTTAAAACTGCGAGCGGAATTTGTAAGCGAAACATAAATAAATTGTGTAAACTCCCGCCAACCCCCCGATGTGTTGCCTGCGACATTAGCAATTTAGCGTAAAGATTAATAATTGTTATTAATGGTAGGCGGTATATATATGTTTATATTGTATTTCTGTAACGGTCAATGCCGTACGACCCGATCACGCGCGTGGGCCTTGTGCGCTAATTGCCGAACCGGGGGGAGATCGCCGAATCCGCGGCAAGCGAGACCGCGGCGAGACAATCGTTCCAACGAACCACTCGAGAATAGTCGCTCTAAGAACTGCTAATAAATCGATCGAATCACGCAGAGCTCGCTCAGTCACTTATTTACTTATCGTCTTTTACTGCATATTTATATATTTAATATAAACGAACGTGGAGTGCCTCCGAGAACATTAGAACATTATAATACAAGCGCTGAAAAATTCTATAATTATCAAAGTGAGACAAGTGCCCGCTATATACCGGTACGCGCGACCGGTGCGCATCGCGCCCAACGTTGTACACCTATCATTCAATAAAAATTTGTTACCAGCATTCGCATTGTACGCTTCTATAGTACGAACATACGCGTTTGTATAGATTTAATTTACATTAAATCTATACAATTTATTTCACAAGATTTAATTTACACTTAATTCACAAGATTTAATTTAGTTTTTCCTAAGCGCGCGCGCGATCGCCAATTTAAACATCGAAATACAATATGCTGTCGATAATGAAAAGGAATCGAATTAAATCTCGTCATTCTATATATAAAAGCTATTTAACGTATGCGCACACGTGAGTAATATATATAAATTGATATATCTCAAAATAAATTGAAACAAAGTAAACAAACAATTAAATTGATTAAATAAACATAAGTACTAATGGATAATACACTAGTTAACAAAATTATCGAAACATTCAATTTATATCGAAATTTCGCATATTTTCAAGTAAACGTATTTCCACGAAAAATTGTCGTATTAAAAAATTTTTTTTTATTTCTAAGGCCAAAGTCTCTACTTTAAGAAACTACGGTTAGATTTTAATTTTATTCTCCCTCCTCCCACCATCTTTTCAAAAGTAAAAACGTGTTTTTTATCCAAAAAATTGCATAATTTGCCGCACTCTACGGCGTGGAATAATTTTTTTGCGCAAATGACATGATAAATGACATCGTAAAATATGAACATACGCTTACTTAAAATTATGCAAAATTTTGATATAGGTAAATTGAGTGTTGAGATAATTGCGTTGACTAGTGTATAATGTAATAATTAATATATGTATATCATAGAAACTCACTCATGATCCTTGAAACTTTTAGGTGGCACATATTTTGTAAAAGATAATCTCGCACAAATATCAGCATAATCCTGGTTGCGTCGTTCAAATTCCTCACAATGTGCGGCTAAATGAGCGTTAACAAAGCAAACGGATGTATTGTGAATGCAACAACTTACTGCAACACCACCTTTATTGCCCTATAAGAATTTGTAATTAAAATTTAAACTTAATCAGTCTATTAAAATTACGTTAAAAGCCCTCCATTGCCCTTGTTCAGCAAACGAACGTTAGTGCTCTCGTACGAGCGCCGTGCCGCACAGTTCATATACTATTTTACAGCTATGACGTCATGCTGTATAATATATATTGTAACCGAAAATGCAATATGCTGTTTATTAACATTTATAATATATTCTTTAAACAGTGAAAATTTTATGAATGAATATGAATATGAAGCGACCCCCGACTAAAACCTTCTGAAGGTCACTCAGGAGGGTGACCTTCACAACATATGTTAAGGTCAAGGTCATCGGAGGTGGGGCCCTAATTGTAAACATTTACCCTTTGTTTCCATCACAACCCCATTTCGTGAGCATTGTTAATTCATTGACTTCAACCATATTTTCCTTATCTACTGTCTCAAATAATAGTCTTTTTGCAGTATGATCTAGTAATTTTTGTAAATTATTTGATGCCGAACTCTCTGTAATATTAATGTCGTCTGGGTAGCAATCCTGTTTTGATTTTTGGATATTTTTATACGATGGAAATATATCGAATCCAATTTTCTTCGTCGGAGCTCTTATTGTTTCATACTGTCGTTTTGATAACTGAGCATCCATTATTAATGCCAGAGCAGTGTTAGCATCAAAACCATTTTTCTGATTTTGTATTTTACTTGAAGCAGCATCGATTATTTGTTGTGATGGATCATCAGGTCAGAGCGAATACAAACAAAGTTTTATGGACAAAGAAATATCTGATGAATATATGTTTATGACTTCATTGGTGCCCTTACGTCTTACTTCATTTTACGATGAAAACATTATTATTTGGAATAATGATCGACCTTCTTCAACGAGATATTGCAGAGCAATACAATTTAAATACACAAAAGAAACTGCTGAAAAAATAAAAAGTGAAAAGCAACGTATGGATGACGAAAATGCTCAATTATACGAAAAAGTTCGGAACCACATTCAAAATAAATCATCAAATGATATTTATGATGATAGACGGTAAGGTAGCTCAAGCTGTAACCCACACGCCTTCATCATCTTCGTTTGCGGTTCCAAATCATCTCAAATAAACAACCAAACAGAAATTAATAAAAGGTCTAACAAAGAAGAAGCACTCAAATTAGGAATGTCACTCTTGCACGAATCAAATTCATGGAGTGTATATTACATATTGCCTACAATTTGTCTTTCAAGAAGTGGTCAACAACGTCAAAAACACGCGTTCAAAAAGAAGAAACAAAAAAAAGAATACAAGACGCATTTTATAATAAACTTGGACTGAGAGTAGACATCGTTAAACAAGGTTCCGGATCATCTAATGACGGAAATACTTCTCGACGATTTTTTGCTGATCCAAAAATCACAGCAGAAATAACTGAAGTTGACGAGGAATTGATCAGAAGATAGATTTTCCACAATATTACAAACGATTAATTGTGGTAAAGAAATAAAATCAGTAAAATTCGGTTCTTATGCGTACAAGGCAGCGGAAATATTTATTGAAAAATATTCTTGGTACTTTATGATGCCAATTACCGTTCATAAAATTCTTCTTCACGGTAAAGAAATTATAGAAAATGCAGCGTTACCTGTTGGGACATTATCGGAAGAAGCTCAAGAGGCAAGAAATAAGGACTATAAACGATATATCGACTTAATCATAGTAGAAAATGTAGTCGTCTGTTTACAAATGAAGATATTATGCATATGATGCTCCGTGTCATCCGATCCGTTAATAACTAGTTTAAGAAGTAAACCACATAAAAAAAATTTAGACTTAAGCGATGAAACGCAAGAATTACTTTGCTCTTATACGTAAATACTAAATTAAATGTAAATTGAATTTTTATTTAATTTCAATCAAATACTTGTTCCTATCATTAATTTTTAATAAATATACATAAATATATTTAATAAATATACTTTTGCAAATTTTATAAGTCAACATTGAAAGGTTCTCTGATCATTCATTGCATATTTTACAAGTAACATAATTTTTTCTGCGATTCGCGCAAACGGCTCCACTGTGCGCCGGGCCGAGCGCGGCCGCCGCGGCCGCAGCATATCCCCTCTAACTGGCTAGTTCGGACACGAACCATTAGCACGGAACGCAAACCATGTGCGGTTACCAAGCAAAACGACGTAGTTGATACGCACTTTCTCAGGCGGCGCGTCGGAAAATGCGACACAGAAAAATTGACGAAAAATGCCGGGATGGCCTCTGTCAGGTTTCTCTCTGGCTGGATTTTGGAGGCAAGGAGAAAGGAAGGGAGATGGACGAGGATAAATCGGTGGAGACGAGGGTAAAAGAAAGAGAGGAGAAAGAAAGGAGAAAGGAAAGGAAAGAGAAGGAAAGTAGGAGTTGGAAGAGGACGGAGAAGGACGAGATTATGAAAAGGATGGAGGAGAGTCTGTTTGTTTTCGGAAGGATTAAAGGTAAAGGTAAAGGTGAAAGAGGTAAGCATGATAGGTCAGAGAGGAGAATGGGTGACGATAATAGTAAAGATGGGGAGTGCAGAGAATAAGTGAAGGGTATTAGATGCAAGGAGAAAGGAAGGGAGCAGATTAAGGGTGAAAATGGATGAGGATAAATCGGTGGAGACGAAGGTATGGATACGGACGAGGACGAGGACCATAGGAAGAAAGGAGAGTAAGAGGGAGGTAGGATGGAAAGAAGAAAGGAAGGGAGATTGAGAAAGAAGTGGCAGGGGAAAAAGAGGGAAGGAGGAGAAGGAAATAAGATGAAGGTATAACACAGTTTCCAGAGCGAAGGTAGAATAAGGAGAGAAGGCGGCGAGCGAGAGGAGAGAGAGAGAGACGGAGAGAAAGGGGAAGAGCAGTGGCAGAAAGGAGGGAAGCAAAGAGGTGGCTGAAGCAAGGAAGGCGGAAGGAGATGGCCGGATGGAAGACAAAGGGAGGGGAAATGAAATGTAAGGTCGCTATGGCCAGGACGGGATAAGGGGCTTGATTGCTTGTTTCAGAGCGAAGACAGAATAGGAAGGAGAGAAGGCGGCGAGCGAGAGGAGAGAGAGAAAGAGAGGAAAGGAAGGGGAGAGAACAGTAGCAGAGGGAAGGGAAGCGGAGAGATGGCTGAAGCAAGGAATGCGGAAGGAGATGGCTGGATGAAAGACGAAGGGAGGGGAAATGAATTGTAAGATCGCATATGGCCAGGACGCGAAGGGGAGTTTTTGTAAAAGGTTTGGATACGTTCCTCACAAAAACGCCTTGTAAACCCTGCGGTGATATACAATAAACTTATCTATCTAAGTAAATTTATTAAAATTTTTACTGTAATTTTTGTAATTTTTTGTAATAAAGATATTGTTATCAACCAAAGATAGTAAGAATGTGTCAAATATGTAGAATAATGTAGTAAATTATTTATAACCTTTTTCTAACCGTTGTTCGGGGTAGATTAATCGATACACAGTTATTATGGAACGCAAAAGATATAAACCTTTTATTACAGTAATATGTAGAAAGCAGTACAGAACAGAATGTGCTAGAATCAGTAGAACAGCAAAGTCGAACAGAAAGACCAATGCAAGAGTACAACTTCAAGAAGTAAAAAGACAGCCAATAGGAAGGCTTAAAACCCTAGAATAGTTCGGATAATCCCTATACAGTAAGGCAGCAAACTCAAACGGGGTGAATTCTAAATTCCAACACTAACCTATAAACTATCAACAAACTTTTTATTAAAAATTGGTTTCTATGTACCTTGGAACATGAAGGTTGATGTACCTTGAAACGCTATTTCAAAAGTATATTAGCTGATTGTTATCTTTATATAACCTTTAGTTATTTGTTTAACCATAATTTTTTCCATTTTTAATAACAGCTCGAATTGGTAGCTATTTGTTTGTATTATAGCTACCATGCCACGTAATAAACGTGGAATAAAAAGGCTAAGACTAGGTAGATACTGAAGCTCTGATATTTTATCTGCTGCAAATGCAGTTTTAGGAACTGAAACGACAAAAGTATCTCACTGACAAGGGAATAGTCGGAACTGTCCCTACCCGATTTGGATGCGCTTTGGATATGTTGTTGAGCATCAAAAAATATTAGACACGTATCTTTTTTTTTTAGCTGCGTATCTCGACGTTTAGGGGTTGAAACAACTCCTTGAAAATAACAACCGATTTGGATGCGCTTTGGATATGTTGTAGAGTATCAAAAAACATTAAACACGTATTTTTTTAGCTGCGTATCTCGACGTTTAGGGGTTGAAACAACCCCTTGAAAATAACGGATTTTATAATATCTTCGAAAATCTGATTACGCCATTGTAAAGAGCACAAAAAGCCATAAACATTTCGTACAAATGTTTTGTCGTTACGCTTTATATTTTCAAAGATATTCGGTAAAAACTATAAAATCCGTTATTTTCAAGGGGTTGTTTCAACCCCTAAACATCGAGATACGCAGCAAAAAAAAATACGTGTCTAATATTTTTTGATGCTCAACAACATATCCAAAGCGCATCCAAATCGGGTAGAGACACTTCCGACCGTTCCCTTGTGAGAAAAGCAACAAAAATATGTAATGTAAAATTTTATTGTTTGTCAAAAGATGCTTAAATAATTTATTCGAATTAAGCGTGACGTTATTTTTCATTTTATTTCTATTTTTACCTTTTTGTTTTATTTTATTAATAAATATTTTATCAAAGAGAAAAAAGTAAAAGCAATTAAGAAAAACACGCAAGGTTACTTATCAAATTCATGAAATGAGAGAATAACTATTTTTATTTATGATAATAATGATTTATCTCGCCAAATAATTTTTTTTCAGTTTAATAATTTACCAAAATGTAACTAAATTTAATAAAATATTATATTTCTTTGAAAAAATTTACATTTCTTAAAAAAATTAAAATTTTTTAGTGTTTTGACGTACAATAAGAGTGTTCTAAGGTACATTAGGCTGCTGTACCTTTCTCCAGAGGCTAGTTG